AAAATAAAGTCAGGAATCGGGCTCACCCGGAAGGAAGTATGATTCAAGGGACCGTGGGTGAGGAGATTGGTAATTTTGTGGCCGACTATATAGCCGTTGCTGAACCTATTGGTCTTCCTACTTCTCGACATGAAGGGAGACTTGATGGTCATGGCACAATCGGTCGAAACGAATGTCACCTGACCGAGATAAGTTCTTACAAGCACATCTATATGTGTTGCACCATGTTGCAGATGTTCACCCATATTTAGACGAGCACATGGCTTGTTTGCGTGATGAATTTCCATCGAAAGGTGAAAGGGCACTAATGCAGTTGCATAAAAAGAGGTTTGTGAGTTGGTTTTGTGATCGAGTGATGGGTCGATTGGATGAGAGTGTCACTGGTACAGTAAGGTGGCTTGCTTATGGTCCTAGGGATGATGTTCGCTCATTTGAAGGATATGACATAAATGGGTACACTTTTTGGACTGTGTCAGGATTTGATATCTTCCTCGACCTAAAACAGTGGTGTAACGCTTGTGGCATCGTCAAGGGAGTTTGCAAGTGCTAAAGGATAAATCACCCGTTGATGTAGAGTTGTCATACTATGGTAGAATTCAAGAAATATGGGAGCTTGATTATTGTAACTTCACGGTTGCTCTTTTCCGGTGTAAGTGGGTTGATAATATCAGGCCTAACGTCAAATATGATGACTTTACTCTTGTAGATCTTGGCCACCTGAACGGTAGTGCGGAACCATTCATCCTTGCATCTCAAGCTAAGCAAGTGTTTTACGTAACTGACCCAGCTTATTCAAAATGGTCTATTATGCTAGCCGGCAAAAGAAGAATCCTAGGCATTGGAGATGTCGAGAATGAGGAAGAATATGATGCGTTTGATGACTCGGCACCTTTCACTGTTCCTAGACCTGTTGTACCAAATGACATAGACGACCAAGCCAATTATATGCAATCAGACCACAACGAAGGAATATTAGATTGAGGTACAATACGTGGTATTTTGAAATTGTAGGCGTTGAAAGTATTATTAAATCACAGGTTAGGTGAAAATGAATGAAAGTGTTAACTTACTTGCCCATTTTTCACATTTTCTTTTAAATGAATGAAGTAACTTTTAAAACATGTGAAATCTGGAATAAAAACTACCTACACTTGCCCAATTTCTATGTTGATTTGTATTATAATTCAGCAATTTTATATTTGGTTATAACTTTACCTTACAAATTTATTTATATTACAACTAATAACGTTATGTTTGTAATGGCAGGTGTTTACATCTCATGGCGGACGATCAGGACCGTAACCGTGTCGAGGATATAGAGGGATGATGATGATGATTTCTCTGAGGATGAAAATGAGCTGTATGATGTGAACAAGGAGCCTGATTTGGGTGAGGCGGAAGATCAGGCTCAGGTTGAGTTAGAGTGTAGGCTTGATGAATTTGAAATTTCAGCTGAACAAGCGCCTCTTATTGAAAATACAGTTTCTGAGACGTTTGGTGAGAATCCTACTTCCCACACTCAAAGCGAGGACAAAGTGGATGGAGGGTGAAGGAACCGGCTAAAAAAAAGGTGAGAGGCCCGACGACAAGTTTCAAGAAACTCGTTAGTCCCATGGTCTTGGAGTATGACAAGGCAAACCAACCTACAGGAAAATGACGTCATCAATATGATGTTCATGTTGCCATTTGTGCGCGTAAAATCCCCATTACTCTTGGTTGGCGGGAAGTATCTCCAGGCTTGATTGACACATTTTGGAATGATACAAGGGCAAGTGTTTTCTTTGCACCTTTACACAATATTAAAAACCTTCACTTTATTGTTATTTTAAAAGGGGAAACTAATAATCGCTTTTATTTGTGGTTGCAGAGTCTGTTTAATATTCCTAATGATGCCGCCAAGCGAAGGGTGTTTGAATCTTTACCAGCGGAAAGATTCAGAGGCTTCAAGACCACCTTAGTTAGTGGGTGGATCACAAAGACAGTTGTGAGATAACCAAAGAACAAGAAAGGAGGTGGCAATGATGATGAAGTCATTGAGGAAGAGCAACTCCCATGGCAAAAATGGCCAAACGTATCGAAGGATGATTGGGAAGCTTTCGTTCTTCAAATAAGTAAAAAGGAAGCAATTGTAAGTTAAAGTAAATCTGATGGCAATTGTATAATATATTAACTCTTTTTGAAGTAATGATACTAACATTTCTAATTATGTAGGAACTGAGGGACCAAAATTCTAAAAATGCATTGCAGAGGCAATACACCCATCGCATGGGGTGTAAGACATTTGGTGAATGGAGGGAAACGTGGGTCAAGGAGGGAGTATACCCCACTGCCTTCTAGGGTCCTCCAAAGAACCTTACTGATTCCACGATCACTACATTGGTGAGTCGTGCTGGAGATTTCATTTGCTCTCTACATGCGCGTGACAAGGAAACCGGAAAATGGGTCATCAAGGCTCCGAAAACCATAGAAATGGCAGATAAACTCGTAAACATCTATGAACTTGTGAACTTTATGAAGCCTTTGCATAAAGATCACTTTACAAAAACATTAACTATATTCATGTTGCCTGATAAGCCTTCTTATCAAGGTTTGAGAGAAGCGTTTTAGGGTGTGTTTTGATGCTTTGCATGGGTTTTTAATAGCTTTTGTGAGTTTTGGGCGGTGATCTCACTTATGTACAAAAGACGGGATTTATGAGTGTTAGTGAGTGAGTGAGCTCGGGAACCAATGAGGAGAAATATGAAGGATGGACCTTGGCTCGTGGCTCGAGAGTTGTGATGGAGCATGGAAGAGCAAGGAGGAAAGCTTGAGGAAAAGGTGAAGCAAAGCAAGAAGAGGAAGCAAGGAAGGAAGGCAAAAAAAGCAGGAACCGCTGCCAGGGCCGCTGGCAGCTGGCCAGAGCCGCTGGCAGCGGGTCAGCCAGAGAGAAGGCGTTTTGCTGCCTTAGCCGCTGCCAGCGGGTCCAGAGCAGCTGGCAGCGGCTCGTCCAGATTTTCGAGTGTTTTGGCTTTTTTTTCAGCAATTTTTGCTTCCCTTGGCTCGTGTTTTGGATATTATTTTATTATTATTATTGTTTTATGTTATTAGAATATAGAAACATATAAATAGCTTAGTTTTAATTAAGTTTTAAAGGGAGTTAATGAGAATTAAGTTTTTGAGAAGCAAAAGCTTTCTAGGGTTTCTTTACAATTTTCAGAAATCTTTGTTTTGAGAATTAGACTCCATGGAAGCTTAATCTTCCGGATTCTTGGTTAAAGATTGAAGCTTTTGGCTACGAATTGTAAGATCTTTCTTCTCTTAATATCTATTGAATATATATTGTTCCTTGAATTAATTTCATGATTTTCTTTAGTCAATTGCTAGTTAGAATTGTTAGATTCGCTTGCGTCTAATTGAATCTTTCCAAAGTAGCAACTTTAGATTATGAATGCATGCTTTTGGTTTATAATTTGAAGAAGGAATATTATTATTGAAGAAATTAGACCGCTTGTGTTAATTTATTCAATCCTTGTTGATTTCTCCGTTTATTTTCTTCTTGTGGATAATTTAGAGCGCTTGTCTTGAATTGTGCATTGGAAAGGGTTAGAGAGGAGCGCTTTGCTATTTCTAACTAATTATGAGAATATAGAATCTAGAATTCTACAACAAGGTGTTCAATAGTGTTTGATTGAAGGGATTTCCATGATCAATTTGTATGTTCATTAGTGGATTTCGCATAACCAAGACCGTCCTCCTCATTGATTACCTATTCATTACGTTCGTTGTTCTTACTTAGTTCATTCGTCATCATTACTCGTGAAAACCCCCTTGTTACTTAGGTTACTACATTCCTAGAATAATTCCACTTAGGTTTCCAATCATTAGTCCCTTTTTCCCTGTGGATTCGAACTCGACTTCCCTAACTACGTTTATTTGCAGTTAGCTTAGTTGTGATTTTTGGTTGCATACGACTAAGGCATCACCAAATTTTGGCGCCGTTGCCGGGGAACTAGGCGTTACTTTTTAATTGTTTATCTTAGTAGAATTTATTTTAGGATTGTTCTTAGTTACTCTCTTTGTTTGTTCTCTAGGGTATGATAAGTACCCGTTCTGCTAACAAAGAAGTTTTGCAGTTTGATCCAGAAATTGAAAAGAAATATTTCCAGGTTGCGAAAAGAGGCAAGAACAACCCCCAGTGAATCAACATACACCTTCAATATTCAAGAAGAAGAGGAGATGGCTGACAATCGAACTCTAAGGGAACTTACAGCCCCTAACTTGAACCAACAGCCGTTGTGCATTGCATATCAGCAGTTGGAGGAAGGTACTAATGTTGAGATCAAATCTGGTCTAATACATCTATTGCCGGCATTCCATGGCATGAAGGGTGAAGATCCGAATAAACATCTGGCAGAATTTCATGTGGTATGCACCAGCATGAAACCGATTGGGATGACTAACGAGCAAATTCAGTTGAGAGCATTTCCTTTCTCTCTCAAGGATGCAGCGAAGGATTGGTTTTACTATCTTCCCCCAGGTAGCATAACAAATTGGGCAGATTTGAAGAAGTGTTTCCTTGAGAAGTACTACCCAGCCACTATTTCTGCGAGCCTTAAGAAAGCTATCAGCAATGTGGATCAGAAGGAAGATGAATCCTTGTATGAGTATTGGGAGAGATTTAAGAGATTGTGTGCTAGTTGTCCTTACCATGGGTATTCCGATCAAGACCTCATCCTATACTTCTATGGAGGTCTAACTGATGATGACTTGAGGATGGTGAATGCAGCAAGTGGAGGAGGGCTAGTGAATAAAACTCCAGGAGATGCAACTAGGCTGATTGCAGAGCTAGCAGAGAATTCTAGGCAATTCAGTCAGAGAACTCCCACGCGCCGGGTGAATGCAGCAAATTCAAATACGTCTGAGTTAGAAAGTCAAGTAGCTGATTTGACTTCTATGATGCGTGAGTTCATGGTGAACTCAAGGAATCGCAGCAACTGAATTCTTGTGGTATATGCACCTCCATGGGACATCCCACTGATGCATGTCCTCAATTACAAGAGGAGCAGAATGAGCAAGCAAATGCAATGGGTTTCCAAGGGCAAGGTCCTCAGAGAAGTTATGATCCCTATTCAAATACATACAATCCAGGATGGAGGGATCATCCAAATTTGAGATATGGGAACTCCCAAGGGAACCAACAACAACAAAATGCTCAAGGCCAGCAACAGTATCAGCAATATAGGGCACCATTACCCAAACCTCAAGGCCAAAGCTCAAATTCGAATAATATGTCAACTGAAGAAATGATTAGATCACTAACTTCTAATGTATCTACTATGCAGCAAAACATGGTGCAATTTCAGCAAGAAACCAAATCCAGTATTCAGAATTTGGAGAATCAAGTGAGTCAAATCTCAAGTGCGGTGAGCAGACTTGAAGCTAAGGATTCGGGAAAACTTCCATCTCAAACGGAGTTGAATCCTAAGCAACAAGCCAACGCGATTACACTGAGGAGTGTCAAAGAGCTGAAAGAGACTGAAATTGCAACCAAGAGGGCTGAAGACTTGATTGGAGCTGACGAGGAGGAAGTGGAACATGAAGCTGTTGCAAACCCTTTAACTTTTCCCTCTTATGAACCCACACCACCTTTCCCTGAAGCGTTGAAAGAGACGAAAAGGTACGAAAAAGACAAAGATATCTATGAAACATTCAGCAAATGTGAGGTAAACATTCCCCTTTTGAATTTAATAAAAAGTGTTCCTAGATTTGCTAAATTTATGAAAGAGCTTTGTACTATAAAGAGGAAGCACAAGTTGGGAGGAAAAGAAAAAGTGAAAGTGAGTGCTCATGTTTCTGCAGTCTTTCAGAAGAAGCTCCCTGAAAAATGCAGTGATCCTGGTATGTTTACTGTCCCAGTTACAATAGGGGACACCACATTTCATAGACCTATGTTGGATTTAGGTGCTTCAATCAATGTTATTCCATATTCCCTTTTCAAATCTTTAGAACTTGGGCCCTTGCATGAAACTGGGGTAGTGATTCAGTTAGCTGATAGGTCCAATGTTTACCCTAAGGGAGTAGTGGAAGATGTGCTTGTGAAAGTTGATGAACTAATCTTCCTGCTGATTTTTATGTGCTTGATATGGAACATGATAGACAAGCAGTTCCCATCTTGTTAGGAAGACCCTTCTTGAAAACTGCTAGGACAAAAATTGATGTTTTTACTGGTTCTTTAACTATGGAGTTTGATGGGCAAGAAATTGTGTATAACATCTATGATTCCATGAAATATCCTGTTGACACTCATTCCTTGTGTTCCATTGATATCATTGATCCTATAGTGTAGGATGTCTTCAATGTTGAGGGCGAGGATGCGCTCCTCACTTCCATTTCTAATGATTTATCTGCTGATTGTTTGGATATTCCTTTGCCAAATAGTGTGCAGATGATCACTAGTAGAAAAAACCAAATTGGAAGCCAATAATTGGAAGCGGTTTATCAAATCCGCTTCCAATTCCTTACAAATACCCGCCCAAATTTGTTTTTAAAAAAAAAGGAAGAATTGGAAGCGGTTTAGGTTGAACCGCTTCCAAAAACCAATTTGAAGCGGTTTAGGCTGAACCGCTTCCCTTTTTCAAAAAAAAAAAAAAACCCGGCTTTACTTCCATTTTTCCCCTCCATTTCAACGTATTCCTTGCTCTGAATTCCCCTCCATTTCTTCGCTTCCACCATTGCTTCCCTTCAACTTCCACTCTCACACACCTACACTCCACCATAACCACCATATATAACCACCGTCACTTAACCCCACCACAACAACTAGCAACAACCTGCCAAAAGCCGTTGCACCCACCACCATTGGCGTTGTTGGACTCCACACCCTGCACTGTCGCCGCCTCCACCCGCCGCGACAACCACCACCACAGCAAGCATTTCCTTTGTGGACGCTTTGCTGCTGCTGTTGCTTATTGACGCTGCTAGCCACCACACTCGGCCTCACCACGACCCTTGCTGCTGCGACGTTGCTTGAGGACCCTGCTGCCCTTCTCACCTTCACACCGAAACACCACCACCACAGACATTCCTTCTCTTTGTCCCTCACAAATTAGGGTGAGTTCATGCTTACTTAATCTTACTACCTTATTTACATGTTCTTAACAATTTCCCAAATTTTAGGGTTTCAATATTAGTTAATCATATTTTATGTTAATTATTTTAATAATTATTCGTATACAAAATGTTAATTCTTACCTTAATTGTATAATGTTATAAGTTGTTTGAATTTGAGTAGCTAAAAAGTGATGAATTATTGAATATGGATTGTAAGTGAGCTTAGTTTGCTTGTAGGTAGTCCAATTAGCATTGTATGAATGAATTAACTTGTGTTTTGTTAAATGTCAAACAAATTGAAATTTTTGAATGCTTGCATCATCATTTGCCTAGATACCCGTTCAAGTCTTTCTCATTAGGAGGAAGACTTGAATAGTCCCCGGTTGGGACTGTTCTTGGACGTTTAATCTCACTTAGGTAGTGAATGTATGTCTCTTTTTCGATTTTAAGGAATATCTCGGCCTAGCATTTCGTCTCCATGTTCTCTGGGTGCATATGTAGGTAATTATTTACCTACATTGTGTACTTGGAGAACTAGGGCGAAATGCTGCCGGATTTTCCTGAAAATTGGAAAGTTGACATACATTCACTAGTGAGATTAGACGTTCAAGGATGGGTTAGGTTGGAGTGATAAGGACCTTTTTGGGAGCATTCATTTTTACACTATATGCATTAACGATATAAATACAAACAATGTACTTTGATTATATGTTGCAATTTTACATTATTTAATATGTGTTGGTTTGCGTAAAGGCAATTGAAAACGTTGATGGATCGCGGTTGGATGTATGGTAGACGTGATACGTTGGATTTCTTTAATGGGGTCCAAGAGTTTTGCGAGAGTGCTTCACAATATCAGATCAAAACGGGTGTGAATGACCTTTATTGTCCTTGTGTCAACTGTAATAATGTGACAATGGTCGACAGTGTTGATACAATAAGGGATCATGTGGTATGTCATGGGTTTAGGCCTCAATATCATGTGGGGTTTGGCACGGTGAACAGGGATCGTATAGGGTGAATGTTGTTGGGAATGATACTCACGATAACAAAGCCGAGATTCGTGCGGAAGATGATTATGGTAGTGATGGTGGTGGAGATGGAGATGAGGATGGGGATGAGATCGAGGACGGTGGTGGTGATCACTTGGATGAGATGATGCATAATGTTGAAGGTGAATTTGGTGACCGATGTGATGTATTTGAGTCGTTATCAGAGGCTGCCAAAAAGCCTTTGTATCCCGGGTCGAAAAAAATACACCAAACTATCAGCCGTGCTAACACTTTTTAACATTAAGTCAAAGTATAATTGGAGCGACACTAGTTTTACTTCTTTGTTGACTGTGTTATGTGACATGTTGCCTGATGAGAATGAACTTCCTAAGTCGTACTATTATGCAAAGAAACTCATGTGTCCATTTGGTTTGGAGTATAAGAAGATACATGCATGTCCTAATGACTGTGTTCTTTATCGAAATGAATATGAAGAGTTGGAGGAATGTCCACGTTGTGGTCAGTCGCGTTACAAGCGAAAGAACTGCAACGCTGGTATGAAGGGAATTCCTGCCAAAGTGTTATGGTATCTTCCCATCATTCCAAGGTTCAAGCGTCTATTTTCAATACCAAGAGATGCTAAGAACATGAGATGGCATGCAGAGGGAAGAAAGAAAAACGGTTTGCTGAAGCATCCGGCTGACTCTCCGGCTTGGAAGAACATCGATATGAAGTTCAGGGCATTTGGTGATGAAGTGAGAAATTTGAGGCTTGGGTTGTGCACCGATGGTATGAATCCATTTGGCACTCTGAGTACCCAACATAGCACATGGCCGGTACTTTTAGTGATCTACAACTTGCCTCCGTGGTGTGTATGAAACGAAAATACGTAATGCTGTCTCTTTTAATAACTGGTCCAAGGCAACCTGGACACGACATTGATGTTTTCCTTAAGCCCCTTGTTGATGATTTGAGAAAGATGTGGGACGAAGGAGTTTCTGTTTATGATGCCCATAAGAACGAGATGTTCCTAATGCGTGCAGCCCTGATGTGGACCATTAATGATTTTCCCGCATATGGCAACCTGTCCGGGTATAAGAACAAAGGGCATAAAGCATGTCCTGTTGTATCGATGACACACCAAACGTGTACCTTGAACACTACGGCAAAGATGTGTACGTGAGGACCCGACGATTTCTTCGGCGCGATCACCCATATCGTAGGCAGAAAAAGGCCTTCAATGGGAAAGTTGAAGAAGGGGTTGCACCTAGGCCAATGAGTGGACATGAGGTGTATGGTCGAGTGAAGGGTATACCAACTGTTTTTGGTAAAACATCGAAACCTTTAGACCCATATGCCTTATTTAAAAAGGAATCGATCTTTTGGAAGCTTGAGTACTGGAAAGAACATGATATTAGACATTGTCTCGATGTGATGCATATAGAGAAGAATGTTTGTGATGCAGTTGTTGGGACAATAATGGGTATTCATGGCAAGACAAAGGATGGGAAGAGCGCCCGATTAGATTTGGAAGCGTGGGGTGTTCGTCCGGAATTGTGGGTGCAGCCAAAGGAAGGGAAGGCAATGGTAATGGAAAAGGTAAGGGAAGATGGTGGCAATAAACGTAAGGGGAGCGTAAAGGAAAGGGCATCGGTGTATCAAAGAAGAAAGATGAAAAGGTGTATTTACCTCCAGCTTGCTACACATTGTCAAAGGACGAAAAATGGAAGTTCTGTGCTTTTGTATGACATTAAGGTTCCCTCTGGTTTCTCGTCAAACATGAAAAGATTCGTTTCTTGAATGGGAATTGAAGTTGACTAGTATGAAATCTCATGATTGTCACATGATGATGCAAGTATTCCTACCGATTGCCATTCGTGGTATTTTACCAAAGCACGTGAGAGAAGCTATTACGAGCCTTTTTCGTTTTTCAACACTATATGCAGCAAAGTGCTCGATCCTTTTACACTTGATGCTCTCCAGGCGAATGTAGTTGTAACATTGTGCAAATTTGAGATGTATTTTCCACCATCATTTTTTGACATCATGGTGCATTTGGTCCTTCATTTGGTTCGTGAGATCAAGATGTGCGGTCCAGTCTTTATGAGGTGGTGCTATCCTTTTGAAAGACACATGGGTACATTACAACATAAAGTCAGGAATCCAGCCCATCCAGAAGGTAGTATGATTCAAGGGATTGTGGCGGAGGAGATTGGTAATTTCGTGGGAGTATGTTGCCGTTGCCGAACCAATTGGGCTTCCCACTTCCCGACATGAAGGGAGACTTGATGGTCATGGCACACTCGGGTCGAAACGGATCTCACCTACTCATGATCAGTTCTTGCAAGCTCACTTATTTGTGCTTCATCATGTTGCGGAGGTTCACCCATATTTAGAAGAGCACATGGATAGTTTGCGTGCGGAATTTCCATCAAAAGGGGAAAGGGGACTAATGCAGTTGCATAATAAGATGTTTGTGACATGGTTCCATGATCGAGTCAATCGTCAATTGGATGAGAGTGTCTCTGATACTATAAAGTGCTAGCTTATGGTCCAAAGGAAGATGTTTATTCTTTTGAGGGATATGACATTAATGGGTATACATTCTGGACTGAGCATCGTGATCAGAAATCCTCATCGACTCAAAATAGTGGTGTCACGCTTGTGGCTTCATCAACAGAGTTTGCCAGTGCGAAGGATACATCACCGGTTGACGCACAATTATCATACTACGGACGAATTCAGGAAATATGGGAACTAGATTATCGTGAGTTCAAGGTAGGTCTATTTAAAATGTAAATGGGTCGATAATATTAGGCGCAACATCAGACACAATGACTTCACTCTTGTAGACCTTGGCCACCTGCGGGATAGTTTGGAACCATTCATCCTTGCATCTCAAGCTAAGCAAGTGTTCTATGTCACCGACCCAGCCGATCCTAAATGGTCCATCGTCCTTGCTAGCAAGAGAAGAATCTTAGGGTTGGAGATGTCGAAGACGAGGACGAATATGATGCGTTTGATGATTCGCCCCCTTTCACTGCCCCTAGATTTGACGTATCAAATTGATGTAGACA